ATGAATAAAAGATATAAGGTAGTATCCAGCAGGGACCACGCCTGCATGGCCGAGCCATGCCATTTGATCAACTACAAATCCTTCAATTCCTTGTACGTGCCTACTCCATCGTTAGGTATTTCTGCGCTTTAAATATTGAATAGCTATTTTCCGAGTAATCTCGTATTCAGCTTTGAGGATTGTGTTGTTATGGTCCAATACCATTACATATCCATAATCGAGCGCCTCTCCAATTCATGCTATACTTCCTACATCACATTTCAACTCTAAACTTCCTATTTTGACTTCCTCCTCAATTGTCACAACGGCCAAACATTATTGTGTGCAAAACACTGTCTCAAGTCTACTGAAACCTCGCTTCAAAATATACATTGTAGCCTTCACCGTACGCGCCCTGTGTCAAATCAGTCAGTAGGACTCCTTGGCCAGTCCTAGAATCTCGTACCACTGGTATATGCTGTGCCTCCGAAACACGCACACAGGATCCTTGTGTGGTCATTCATTTGACCCCACACAGTCAAAACGGAGGTACGACACCTTCCACCCTCCGTTTATCTGGCAACCCGATGGACAGTGATCGTGGACTGGCAGGTGTAGACATAGGACTAAGCACGAGGGCAGATCAAGCGGAATTAGAATGGATTCCCGTTAACGGTCACCTATGTACTGTCCGGCTAAACAGTTTCATTAGAACTCGGAAAGATAGGAACAAACGTCGTCGCCTCTTCGTCGTTTCTGCCCATGCTACCATAAGAGTTGAACTCAGTGAAGAGAAAGCCAAACGTAGGTTCCACGAGCAACTGAGGTCACAACTAGGTAGTTCTGAAAACGAGGCTCACCCAGATGTTTCTTGGAAAGACATACAAATATCTGTGGAAACAGCAGTGACATCTATAAGTGATTTAAACCACAAGGTTACAAAGAACCAATGGATTTCCTCAAGGTTTATTGCACTGATGGATTCTTGTAAACTCATCCCGTCAGGCTCTGAACACGATGAAGAGCGAAAACAAATCAGATATAGGTTAACCAAAAGTCTAAGGAACGACCGTGAGCAGTGGTGGGCAACGAAAGCAAAAGAGATGGAAAAGGCGGCGGCTATAGGGAACACAAGAGAGCTCCACAGACTAATAAAAGAAGCTGGAATAAATAAGTCAAGTGTAAGTGAGACTATTTGGGAAAAAGACGACACTCTCATCTGCTCCCAGTTCAGACGTTTAGAACGTTGGGCGAAACATTTTAGAGAACAGTTTACCTGGCCTTCAGCTACCCTACAACTACCCTCCATTCCCAGACAATGTGAATGGAACATTGAAGTAAGTCTCCCAACTCTAGCAGAAGTTCAAAAGGCTGTATTTAATCTGAGACGAGGAACAGCAGCTAGCACAGGTAGATTGGCTCCAGAGGTCTTTAAGTATGGTAGTCTAATATTGGCGATTAGATTGGATAGTATTTTAGCTTAAATCTGGGAGTTGGACGTTATTCCATCTGATTGATCACAATCACTGATCATCCCAATATATAAGAGAGCGTCAAAATCATCCTGTGACAATCATAGGGAGATCAGTTTGACTAATATAGCATCTAAAATACTAGCCTCAATAATTATTGGGCGCCTAAAAAAGACTGGTGAACTGCATACACCAGAAAACCAGGCTGGATTCGAACCTGATCGTGCCTGCATCGACCACATATCCACCATTCGTCAGGTTCTAGAACATGCTTATTGGCATCCGACAATGGTGGTATTTCTTGACGTAAAAGAAGCATTTGACTTTGTAGACTGAGAGGATTTGTGTCAGTGTCTGTCACTGAAAAGTGTACATCAGAAGTACATAAACCTTGTGAAGGCTCTTTACTCGAACACCGTTAATCGAGTGAGAGCTTATGGTGAACTGTCATCTGCTTTTGCAACCTCAAGTGGTGTCCGACAAGACTGTCCACTATCTGCATTTTTGTTAAACTTCATTATGGACCTAGTGCTGGGAATAACGTTCCCGTCGACTGAGTTTCTAGGAATTGATATCCCACCAGGAGGTCCACTTATCAATCTTTGAGCGACGCTAAAGATACCTGGAGGACGTCCACATACACACTATGCCTAAATGAGGGTTATGAACCAGTGTTAGGAATTAAGTCTATTATTTACAGTTGATAGTCAGGGTTAGGAATTAGATATGGGGCTTTAATCACGAACTGACATCAGCTATAATTCAAAAACTCTATTTAGCCAGATGAATGAATTAATTTTGCGCCAAAATCCAAGACCTAGTATCGTAAATCTGGTTGATTCGTCCATAAATTATAGTCTTGCCTCATAAACTACTCTCTTTAAAAAGATTGCTTGACTCTGCAGGCTTTATGAGCAATATAAGGAGTTCCCGATGTGCAATCCAAAACATATATGTGTGAGCATTGAATGCTGTTTTCGTGTACTACTGAATATTGATAACACGTACGGCGGGGCTTCGCACACGTGATGAAGTCTATTAATGTAGTGATTTGTGGTTGGAATCAAATTACAGCATCTGTAATAAAGATGCTCAGGAAACATAAAAGTGTGAATATAATTGGATACTGGTGTGAGTCTTCGAGCAACCAAATTCATGCAGATGTTGCTGGTATGAAAGTTATTAGTGAGCCTTTTAAAGATCTAATATCGAATAAAGATATACAGTTTTTATTTCTTTGTGATACTCCGGTCAATCAACGCAATCTTGTCTCAATAATTGATTGCTTGAGCAAAAAACAGTTAGCTTCGGATACGGTATTGCAAGACATCCCTTATATAATTATTTTTCCTCCCGTATCACCTAATTATGATATGGACATGTTAGAGAAAGTCAGAATTCGTGTCGGCTTCGCTATGCCCTTGAGAAACTTACCTTTATCTACCCTTTTGTTCACTCACCTTAACTACAATCATAAAGAAATGAAAGCACTCAGTAGTTACGAATTTACTCGACTCCCCACACATTGGGTTTTAGGAACTATAGAAAGCATCCATATAAGATTGTCCACAGTCAGTTTTGTTGATGGTAGTGAGTACTCATGGTTATCTGAGTCGGAAGATATGGGTGGAGGACTGCTGAATATGTTCTGTCCAGGTCTTATTGACCTTGTTTATTTCCTTTCTGGAGGGCTTCGGATAACTTCAGTTACGAGTATTTGTCGAATATTCGGTAAAGGAACAAGCGATCTGAGTCATTCTATTCGCCATATCTCTGCAGATGACTACGTCACTATAATGGGCGAACTCGACATACCAACATTACCCGGATTTCGTAAACCAGTAGTCGTCATAATTCTTTCATCAGGTATCCCTTTCCCAAAAAATAGGATGAGTGATCTCCCTGAAGCTCATTTCTATGACAATCATTGTTTCAGACTGGAAATAGAAGTTAGTGGATCAACTGGTAGCTTCTTGATTGATGAAGGCAAAAGGCGAATTTCATGGACACCTCGAAAAGCAGTCTCATCAAAGCCTGGTAAACTGAACAACAAACTAACTCAGTTGGACTGCGAAAATCACTACCATGACAAACGACCTGGAAATATAGAGGAATCTGAATTTGAAGGAGTGTATACTGAGGACGTATTAGTCAGCGCTGTTGGTAGTAACGTGCCTCGAACTCAGGTTCCTACGATGCCAAACGTCAATCTCGATGAGGATGGAATAACAGAAATAGTTCATCTATCATTAAACGTAAGTTACACCAAGTTGTGTTACTAATACTATCTTTTATCATGTTACATCTGTTGACCATATGCTTTATTTAGCATCCTGTATTATCTATACTGTTCCTTTAAACCAGCCTCATCTTTCGTAGCCGATCATTAAACCGAAGTACTATGAAGTAATACATACATAGAACTCAATAATAAACCTCAGTGTATCAGTAGTAAGTAACTCTAAGTTCATTCAAAGGTTTTCTAAGCGTACAACTATTTATTACCTAAAACCTCTAGCAATCTGTTTAAAGCCGTAACCATGATACTGACGAAGAGAGTTGTTCATCACCACTTTAATGGCGGATCCGATCGATATTCGCAAATAAAAAGTATTTGACGTAGCCAGGAAAACGTACTTAAAGATGTTTGCGTAAGGTGGAGTCGTGTATGACCCAGTAATAATTTTATAACAGTATATGCCCGAATTTAGAGGTCAACCAAATTTGTTTACTTTCTGTCTTCCTATCACTGTCAGACGTTCTTTTTCGCACAGGACTCACTACATGACTCGGAATCAGTAAAGAGTGCTCAACACTGTTATCTATCCGCAACTGGAGAAGCATGGACGAACTGGATAAGTGGTTTAACCAAAAGCTTTTCTCCGGAGTGGAAATCATTCGATTTTTTATCGGCAAGCCCCGGCCATTGGGTTTACATTCAGTCAGTTATGCAAGCGATAACCAAATCCACACAACTTAGATGTTGGATCGACGTCCAAACTGGCAAACGCATATGATAGCTTTCGTAGTGTTATTGCAGTGAAAATCAGTAAAAAATACGTCTCACGGCCATACTTTACAAAACTCAAGAGAACACCTAACATCAAGTTAACAAGGGTTGGTCTATGGGTCCAACAAATTAAAACGGGATTTTTATTCAAGAGTCCTAGAAATCGATTATGTATTATTAACTGATTTATTACAAAATGCTTGTTTTTCGTGCTTATCGAATAAATGTTTAAACTCAGGTATTTCACTTTTACAAACTGTAAATAAGATGTAGCACTCGGAACCACAGAGTATTCGAAAATTTCTCCGCTTGTGTTGATTTCAACCCAGTAGGTTCATAATCGTATTATCATTTTGTTATTTTAGTCTGGTATTTGTATTTTTGAAGTAAAGATGATCCCCTGTTGGGTTTAAGTAGTAAGAGATTATGCCATACGGAACTGTATATAAATCGACGTCATAGAAAAGCTTTACAACGTATTCCGAAAACTCTAGATGGCTATTTCATCAGATCACAACCTAATTAAATCTGTTCAACGTTGAGTGAAGTAATTATTATTAAAAGACAAAGTTACAGATTTATAGGAGAACGGGCAAGAAAGGTTCAGATAAAAAAATGAACAATCTGCAATAAACGACAAACGTTATTCACATACAAAAGAGAACGGAAAGAACTTGTTTATTTATCTCATCCTTAGGTAAAAAGATAGATGCACGATCCCTAAAGAAGTCGTCTTAAATAAGCGTCATTGTTACCAGCGTCACTGTTCATTGATCTTTTCTGTCATCGGTTTACCACCTAAGCGCGCTTTATCCACGTCGAGGCAGGCGACACATTTCGCATTCATCAGTATCAGGACTATTATGAAAAGTACAGTGAGAACAGGCCCAGTGACTAGATTCTGAATTTCTTTGTTCTGTTATCCCCGATGGTGTCGTTGTTTGAGATGACCAAGTTGATTTAGGTACTGATGTTGGACCAACTCCTAAAGAAACACTAGAACCACTGAGTGCAGAACGATAGGAATCTGATTGAGTAGGCAATGGAGGACTAGGTGGCATATCTATTATGAAATAAGAAAACAAAACAGTTGAATTCCTCGTTGATGATCATGTAAAACATGATAGGATCAATCGACTTTGCAATTTATCGCTAGAAATATTTTGGTAACAATGCAATATCAAAAATACTGACTACAATCGAATAGTATACTTAAATCATCCCTTGATTCCTATCATGTTCAAGAGATTTTCAAGTTTAAAGTAAAATGTAGATCAGTTAAATGATCTAAATTTGACAAGTAGTTGACAAGAATTTCACGATATAACATAATCAATCATATAGGACTAGCATACTATTTGCCTGTAGTATTCTACTAGATGGACCACGGTTAGATAGAATAATTTTAGATTAGCTTAGTTGACTAAAATAGCGCATATTTTTGAAAATTTTGTTTATTAGTGAGATACTACACTATATAAAAGTAGCCTAGTTCAAAATATACTATAATCTAAGTACTTCACGTTAATAATAGTACACCTAATCTCTCAGTAAATAATAAAACGACCAGTGTGACATACTATGACTAACAAATTGTTTTGGGAATGGATGACATTATCCTGTTGCAATTGAAATGATACTAAAATAAAAAGGTTATATAGCACTCATCAGAGTACAAATTAATACATATTTATATTATGCATCATATAAGGCTAACATGCACATACAAAATCAAATCATTTGGTCGTAAATTGAAACAACTATCCAGTTTAATTCACTGTGTGTTACTTGTCTGAATCTTCCCATTGATGTTTAGGACTGCAATTGTTCCGTCCGATATTGGCATATGTGTACCCTATGCGTATCGCCTCGATATTGTCTTAATTTACAGGCATTATGAGCAGAGATGTATGTTAGCTACCACCATGTATCTGTGCCTAAAACTACGCACTTTGTTATCCTCGAAAGTCTGTCTCCTCTTAGTAGGATAACCAAGGATTAGGCCTGACAGTCAAGTCTTAAACGAATGAACAGTTCGTGGCCCATAAAATTAACTCTGTCCAATCGCTTACAGATATTTTGCCATGGTATCATTCGTATTTATACTTTGTATATAAGCATGTTACTTAATGCGAAAAATCTCTATTCATCTGGCTTATGGTCATATCATTTATATCTCATGAGTAGTCATTATCCGGTTACATCGTATCACTACATATTGTCTATCGATTAGCACATTCTCTTCTTTCGTTTTAACAATCGAAAATTTGTTTCTCTAGTTATTAAAATTATTCACCTAAACAGATATTATACGCATATGATTAGATCAAAGTAACTTACCGGAAACAACTGCATTAGCCAACTCTTGTACAGTAGCCCAAATTGGTGATTCACTAGCCCATTTCTTAACACCTAATTCATATTGTTTTATCGAATCATTATTATTAGAACAACGTAAAGCAATCGCATCCAATAAACCAACGATTCCATATGGATCTTCATTTAATTTACCTTCAGAGTTGAAAATTTGTAAACCAAGTGTATCATTGTTAACTAACCATGCAAGTATATGGAAATTAGTCAAACATGTATGAATTTGATCAACTCCAAATTTATGAAGTACACGAGCAAAACTCGGAATATCCTTTGCAGAAAATAAAAACAAGATGAGAATGGATATTTATCTATAAAGTGTGTAAAAGGTAGCAAATAAACAAATATTTCCTAAATAAATAAGAATCGGAAAATAAAACAAAGATGATAATTGACCGTAGTACTTAAGTTTACGACCAAAGAAATTCTAAATAAACAAATATACACATCATTAGTAAGGGTTCGTGGTTTTCGATTGATTATACTCAGAACTGTAAATGATTAGTCTCTGTTGCTATTCTGAACAAATTGTCTCAATTTGATGGTGCATCAATAGTTGTGACCTATTTTGGCATATGAGTGACGGTGGGATTTAGTACATGTGTTTCATTCTGTTTGGGGCTTTTCAGTTGGATGTTACTGGTACATATCAGTGTGAATGTCCAAAATAAGATTTGAACTTAACAACTGATGCTGCAAACGTTCAACGTATTTAACTACTGAGTCAAAATGGAAATTAACTTGTCCGACGATTATGGATGAATTAGCGAGAGGTTTCATTTATTGTTTTTTTGCTACTATTTACGATTGAAACTGATCAATCTCTGTGACTATATGTGTAGGCTGAGTACATTGTCTCGATATACCATTATATTACATGTTTTAATATATTTAGTACAAGGGCCCTCAAATGCCCTGGTACGGCCGAGAGTGGGGAGAGTCCGCTCTCCCTCTCCAAATGCTCTCACATGGCCACGCGTATACAGCCTCTCCCAGGGAAGTCCTACTCACTGCATTCTCGTGGCACCGGTGTTGTTCACGAAAATGGGAGGACGAAAAGCGAATGTCCGGCGCTTTAACCGGATTCCAAACCAATGGTGCACATAGGCTCCAGTATCCTACGGGAACAAATGGCGTATGAACCAGTTGTTGGTCACCGGCTTTCAAGGGACTGCATCTCCTTACGATGCTACACTGCCTTGTGGATCAGACATTCAGGTCGAAGGCTCCAGGTGTGGTGCCCTAAGAAAACCACCTGCTTCGGTTTGGGCACCCGGGCAGTATCACAGCCCTCACACATATCGAATGAGATTTGTGTGGCGCATATGTATTTGGTGCCTCCTTGTACCAATATCTATGTGTTAAAATAAATAAAAAATAAACAAGACCAAAACATGTGTTCTAAATCCCAGTGTTATAACAAATAAAATAAATATATAATTTTCCTAGGATACATACGTAATAGTGGTTTAAATTGCTTTAAAGCATACAACTTTAAATCAATAAGTTAAAAATTAACAGATTTAGTTTCCATCCCTACTTTGATCTTATTAGACGAGTAAGCTAACTAACAATTGTGAGCAACATTACATGTTTAAAAAAACAAAACATAACGCTCTTCATTCACGCATACACGAGCATAAACTATCAATGAGTCAAAGTGATATATTATTACTGATATCAAAGTACGTACATAAAAAACACGTAGGAATTTCGTTAGAAAAACATGTAAATTTTAGATTGAGGATAATTTAAGATTTCCAGAAGTATGGTATTTAAATCAATGGACACATTATTAGAGAATTAATCTATCAACAGATAAGGAAAAAATACCATACAGATCAAGACATTTAACATAAATCCATGGACAAACGAACACAAGAAAACTTACGAAGACAATCAATCATAGACAAGAGTATCAGTATGAATTGATTTAACGCTTATGGAATAATAAGAAAGATAAATTCTATATGGATTAGGACATCAGTCTTATTTAGAACAATAGTAAAAATTTCCGAATGAAACTGTATTAAGCTCAAAGAACACAATATCAAATTCATGAACACTTTTACACAATATAAAGAAATGTAAATTTAAAAGATAGAGAATAGGAGTATCATTGGAAAAGTTCCATTCCATAGTATTTTTTTCCTGACTAGAGTTTTGTTATATCCTAGCGAAAATTAAATTACGAATAAATTGTGAGATCTATTAATGAACTAATATTCTATAAATATTCCTACTGTATATCTATTCAGTGACTATATTATGTATATCTATATTCCTCTTATTATAAGCTTCATTTTGACCTATGGATTGTTATTATACGACTTACTGTTCGTAAGTTATGTTCAGTTTATTAACTACAGTCTTCCACGTTCACAGCCACTTTTTGGTCTGATCTTGTATAAATGTTATTCGCTAGTTTATGGTTTGATGCGGTCTGGTATATAAATCAAATATGTTTGGAATAAATGAATCGCATAGTGGAACCTGTTATTGGTGTTCTGGATTCAGTTGGACGGGCTAGGCGAACAAAGAACCAATAAGGACGCTAAGCTGTTCAGACCAGTCGAACGTCATTGTTTTAGCATAGTATAAGAGTGAATAAAACGTATTTTGATTGGCAAAGAAATTACGTGATAACTAGCCGGACTTAAAGTCACAACAAGTTTCCTGTTGTATTTTTGTGTATAAGCTGTTTTAATTATAGAGCAAAATAAAATAAATACAGTTTCGTTCTACCTCTTTATTCAATTTCCAATTACTCCGTTCAAAATCTATTTCTATCTGGTAGCTTCATTTATCAAGTATAGTTGTATATATGTACTCGGAGTTCTAGAGCACGCAGGTACAATATGGAGGCTAGTGATACTACTACTACTACTACTGGATTGAGCTAAGTCGAATTAAACAAAGCTAGGTTAGAGTCTGTAATTCAGTAGTATAAGCATTAAGTTATCGCTCCGTAACAATTTCAGTGTTAAGACGGCCGAATAGATGCCAAATTACAATTAATACAATTTTTAACGCTCGTTTAAAATAAAAATACCACTATCATTAGTAGTGCTTTCAGTTATATAGACCCCAGTACATCAATCGATCGCTGAGTAGTGACTAATGCCATGTTTGTGTGTTGATCGGATTCTGTCAATCAAGTTGCAATGTAGCCACTAGTCTAAGCGACTGAATATCGTGTGAGCTATGCTTAGATGTTAAGGTAGTCGGATGTGATCAATAGACAACCTATACTTCATTGTACTGGCCACTTGTCATAAACGTCTATATGTAATCCTTAATGAACTGCTACTTACTGTAGAAGTCGAACACTAGTCACCAAGCTCCCTAGTTTGAGACTGTTACCTTTGAGCTGTTTGGGCTATATGACCTTATTTATTTATTTGAACAGATAAATATTGACACAAAAGGGGACCGAATACACATACGCCACACAAGTTACTTGATTTGTGTGTGGGATATGATACTACTCGGGTGCCCAAACCGAAGCAGGTGATCTTCTTAGAGAGCCACACTCCGAGCCTTCGACCTAAAGGTCTGATCCACAAGGCAGTGGAGCAACGTCAGGAGATGCAGTCTCATAATAGCCGGTGACCGACGATCGGTTCATACGCTATTTGTTTCCTTAGGATCCTGAAGCCCATGTACACCCTTGGTTTGGAATCAAGGTTTTCCAACTCCCCTAGGTTGACCCTCCGAGTCCACCAACCCGCTTAAAGAGTCGGATATTCAATTTCATAAACAATAGACCGGCCGCGAGAAGGCAGTGAGTAGGGCTTCCCTGACAGTGACTGCATAAGCATGGCCATGTGAGAGCATTTCGAGAGGGAGAGCTGACTCTCTCCAGCCTCGGTCGTACCAGGGCATTCGGGGACGTTGCATAACCTACACTACTATCACACCAATGACCAGTTAGATTCACTGAAATATGATTTAATTTTATCGGTGATACAATGTACAATATTGTTAAGTTATCCAAGCACCAGTTTGACTTGTTCCAATTTATGAAGCTTCTATTGGATAAAAATAATAAACTTTAAGAAAGAAAGAAATAGTTTATATGGGTACTGAAAAATCTAGTATCATGCATGAATATATTATTATTATTATTGATATAATGGGATGAAAAGTCAAAATTAGACAGATTTACTCATTATAATTTTTGTTCAACATTAATTCCGTTTTAGTTCAATGTGATGATCACTGAATGTAATATTTGTTTTGTTTTTCCTGTACGATATTTTATCCTCTATAACATACAATATTCTTGGATTCAATTGATATGAACTAAGCCTAGTATAAGATGTAGCATGCGATTTGTTATAACCCTAAATATTTTTCATATATGCAATTTCATCCTAATTATTAAGTAAAAGTGGGTATATGAATCAATATATAAATGAGTGTATTTTCGACTAGTGTCGTCGTCGTGTTTCGTGGTTAATAAATTTTCACTTGTACCAGTCTTTGTGTTTTTACTTTCACGTCGCCGGAATAGCGGTGGTTCCTCGTTTTTACGAGTATAAATGATTCCGACATAACAATCAACGACGACCAGATATAACAATTGGTGACGCAGTCATGACAGTCGATCACCAGTCATAACAATTATGATATCAAACGTATTAATTAAAATGGTGTACAAGGTCGAAACGTATGGTACATAAATATTTTACTGTGATAATAGACATACTTAAGGGTTGTTGAAGGACATGTCTTCGAATATTGCATACATATACTAATGTATATCCATATGCATTCTGTAGTAAATGAAATTAGTAATTAATATATTGTTAGTGCTTGTACAATACTTATTTGCGATCACTATTACTATTAAGATAGTAAGTTTATGGGAATGGTTACATTTAGTGATAGTTTTAATCAAGAACTGTGAAGTCAACTGCGGATGCAATGAAAAACAAAGGAACACTGCATTGGACAAGTAGTTTCGTTATGGTCTAGAAATATGTTCAGGAATGATTGAAATCCGAAATATGTCATCGTATTTATGTCGGAATGTTATTGTACTCATCATGTGCATTTGACGAATGGAGGATGCTACAGAGAAGTCTAATGCTCCCTAAGAGTTTTCAATAGTTTTTAGTTGAAGTCAATCTGTGATAAAAAGAATCTTTAGATGACTAGTTCATAGAGTTTGTGGAGATTGAAGAGTTTAGTTTACATCACGGAATGACCTTAACTAGATAAACTTTGAAAATCATAAACCAATAGAACTGGTTTTTCCCAGTATGAGACTCTACAAAAGTATGCACCTGTGACCTCAACGGGTATCAAACGCAGAACAATCAGTTTAGATGAAGTGAGTTTAACCTTTACCACACCAAATCAATATCTAGTCGTTCACATTACTAACTTCAATAGAATAGTGATTTTGCTAATCCCAATGAGATACCATAACCAGTGGAGTTCAACCATGTAGAGTACAAGACAGTTACCCAATTGTCATCATCGTTGTTGTTACTCACATAGCGAAGAGTTACCCTTTAGATTTATAATTAATTCACAAATAATCAACTTCTGGTATATATAAGTGAATAAACAAACAAATTGTACAACTTGTTCGTTATGATTATTTATCATTTGCTAAATGATTACAAAATACAAACCGGATCAATATTCTTAACAAATAAAACAAAAACACGTAAACCAATCAGTCAATAAGATTTCAAGCAAGACATAGCAACGTAACTTAGAAATGAATACAAAATGCATGAAAACACAATTTCCTTAGAATAACAACAATAATAAAAGTGGAAGGCATTTTTTTTAAAGGTGTGTTTATCTATATACATATGTAGTAGTGTTTTTCTCTTTCTTGGAAAAGAGAAAAGAATACTTTATCTATTTTTACTAGTAAGATAGACATTTCTAAGAATAAGCCATTTCCTTTTATATTAAACCATACAACATGAATTAATTGAATTAAGGCAATGAAGACAAACATAATTACATAAATGGTTAATTATTAATGATAATACTAATAATAAAATTAGTTAATTAACCAGAATAATTATTAATCATCTTTTACATAACAATATTTAAATGATGGTAGACTAGATCAGATAAAGTAGCGGGGTGAGTTCAAACCTAAGGCATTATGGTTGGAAGTTAAGTTATCTTAACAACTAGAGCATAATTTGATTGGTCTTTTAGTATATATACTAATAAAGGTCACCAAATGCCCTAGTACGGCCGAGAGTGGGGAGAGTCCGCTCTCCCTCTCGAAATACTCTCACATGGCTACGCGTATATAGCCTTTGCCAGGGAAGTCCTACTCACTGCCTTCTCGCGGCACCGGTGTTGTTCACGAAAATGGGAGGACGAAAAGCGAATGTCCGGCGCTTTAACCGGATTCCAAACCAATGGTGCACATAGGCTCTAGTATACTGAAGCAACAAATGGCGTATGAACCAGTTGTTGGTCACCGGCTTCCATGGGACTGCATCTCCTTACGATGCTCTACTGCCTTGTAGATCAGACCTTCAGGTCAAAGGCTCCAGGTGTGGTGCCCTAAGAAAACCACCTGCTTCGGTTTGGGCACCCGGGCAGTATCGCAGCCCTCACACATATCGAATAAGATTTGTGTGGCGCATATGTATTTGGTGCCTCCTTGTACCAATATCTATATGTTAAAATAAATAATAAATAAATAATGAGCGAACTATAAGAATAAGAATATTTGTTCGTTGTACATATATGAATATTCCCCCTAAAGAAACCGTAAATAATGAGTGAATCTTAAATACAAGCTATATATTATTATAGTACATTGCATGTCCTATAACACTATTGATGAAATGTATGTATTTACTCTGTTGTAATTGTGAAAATCTAAGTTGATTGACATTTATACCAAGTTCAATAATGTATATAACTATTAGTAGGGATTTTCTATATACACAATTAAAAATTTGATCAATCTAGTTGGGATAATATATGTATCCTTTATGAATTGTACTCATCATATTAGTTATTTTGTCCCAATGAGGTAATTACATCTTGTAGATTGATGAGTCCTATATAAAACGAAATATATTCTAGATTTCATTGAAAGTTATAGTTATATTCATTCTAGAAAAAAAACATAACAGAATTAATGTTACTAGTATAGGGGTTGAGGAGATTATTAAGTTTTTGATTGAGATCATGAACCGATTGATGTTAGACCACCACAATTGAAAACCTAGAAGCACTGGACGGCCGTTTCGTCCTACTGTGGGACTCCGTGACCAGTGGAGCTAATCCATGTCGGGTAAAGACAGGTATCTACCTCAGTACAACGGAAGTTGGTTGCGCAATTTCGTGGATTGGGTGTTGTTAGACACTATCACCACTGGATGCCGGCTCAGTGGTCCAGTTGGTAAAGCGTTCGCGAGCGAGACCGAAGGCCCTGGGTTTGAATCCCGCGAGCAGGATAGTGGATGCGCACTGCTGAGTAGTCCCACAATAGGAAGGCCGTCCAGTGCTTCCAGGTTTTCAATTGTGGTGGTCTAACATCAATCGGTTCATGATCTCAATCAAAAAGAATTAATCTTAGTTTTCTAGTCTCCTATAAAGACAATAAGTTAAAACCAACAAAAATAAAAGTTGAGACAAATTTAGGTAAGATAAAAATTGTTCACCGGTAAATAGTTTTGATGAAAATATTAGGCTAGGGTATTAGTAATAACACTTGGTATTTTACACAATTCCATTAATACTAACTTTGTAATATAGATTTATTTAAATGGGGGATATTTGTTGTTTAGATGAATACTTCTTTTTATAATGTTTTCAGTACTTCAAATTGGATTGGTTAATATACGAAGACACCAATGTTAACTTGGACAACACCAAGTAGAAATGTTTAAAATAATAATAATAATAATAATAATAATAATAATAATAATAATAATAAAGTGCATTCACAATTTCATTTGAAACGTTAAACTATCATCATCAAGAAGAGTAAAGACAATTATTGCATATATATATATATATATATATATATATATATATATATATATATATATATATATATATATATATATATATATATATATATATATATATATATATATGTATACAGGACTTACTTGAATTTGACCTAGACACTCACGATTCTCAATTGGAAATTGAAAATCAGCTGGAAAATCATCAGGAAATTTAGCCATTGTATAAAATGGTTCAATTGGAAAAGCTGTTGGCATATTTGTTAACAGAAACTCAACTGGTAAAGGACGAGCTACACGTGTAACACGATTACCATATTTATCCTTGGTCTAAGGATTTAAAACATTTTAGGAGAGGGGAAAATATATATGTAAGCGGTTAAACATTGGTTCGAAATATAAACAAAAGGTGAAAAACAATATGCATAACATTTTGAAAGTTCTACATAAACAAAGGATTAATGGTAATGATCTCGTTAAGTAAGGAGCGTGATTATAAAACCCAAGAAATAGCTGGTTGAGACAGTTTTCATATGTCTTTATAATGAGTGACTTTTGCTGTATTAGCATAGCACTTTTCAAACCTTACAATTGGTGCCGAAAATCCATTCGGTCAAGTGAGATGACTTACAAGATGGCTAATAATCAGGTCTAACACTTGGGTCATAATTGATTAGAAAATAAATGATCTCTAAATTGGAATGGAAACAGGATGTAATTTGTATGAAAATGCAAGAACAATGAAGGCTGAGTCGTTATGAGACGATTGGTGGACAGTTTGCAAATTAAGCATTTACTTTATGATTGTTAGATTTTATTAACAAGTCCTGTAATTTTGATGTTAAATACATTCGATTGTCCCCACTGGTGTTCGTGTTCACTACACTACTACTACCACTACTACTATTAAGAATAGTAATAATGACAATTGTTAATATCATCATTATTTCAGCACATATCAATGCAAATTCACTTAGTATTGTTTGGCTTGTATCTTCCCAGTGAAGTTTAAGACTGTAATTGATCAGTCTGTTATTAACATATGTGCATATTGTGCGTATGCCTCGATATTGCCTTAATTCACAAGCTTTTTGTAAGCAATGATGACGTTTGAAGCGAATGGTACTAGATTCGAGTCCCATAGTGAACATCAACTCTCTGAGATGCAGGCACATCCAACTGAAGAGTCCCAAATAGGACGAAACGTGCGCCCTGGATTCCATTGTTATCCACTATCCATCATTGCTTACATATCAATGCAATTTAGAAATGAAAAAGAAAATCAATTTTTTGTTAGTTTATTCATGACATATTTAAAGGTCATAGAAAAATATTTTGTTTGTTTTTTTTGGATGGTAGATACATACTTGAAATTGTGTGAATTATTTAAACCAAATATGCATAACATAAATCTTAACAAAATAATAATTAATTCATGTACAATCAAATCAGTTGATAAATAAAGGCCAGGACTAGTTGAACTATGAATAAATAATTAGTATGAGGTTAAAAAGTATAGAACAATCATATTGTTCTCTGCTTGATACATATATATGTATATGCTATGCAAATTATAGAGTTAGAAAATTCTATGTTCAGTTGTTATAGATCATGATTGAAATTTATTAGTTATATAATTTACCCTTGTGGGTCAGGGTAATTTTACACTGGCTTTCAGGAGAACCAAACACTATCCAAACTTTCACTTGACAACCGAAACAATACAGCTCAATCCCGCTTTACAGGAGAACCAGACACCATATAGACTTTAACGCTACAATCTGAATAGTACAGCTCAATCCTATGACGCAACCATACAAGTACAAAGCATCCTGGTGGATCAATGATTGAAATTTAGTTAAGCTATATGATATTTCATTGAAATCATGAACCGATCTATATTAGATCACTATTGAAAACCAGGAAAAAAATGGATAATCGTTTTTATTCTGCTATAGGACTCTTCAGAAGTGCGTACCCATCATTCCACAGACACACACATCGGATCCAAACCCGGTTCACCTTCAAAACTTCAAACGGAAAATCACATGATAATTATTCACTTAACTACAATAATTTACAGTTCATTCCGATGAGAATGACTACAATAGTGAAATCAATTGAACAATTATATCGATGAAATTACATAAGAAGTAGGTAGGAGTACAGAAAAAGTGATATTTAATTAGATAAGTTAAATTAGTACAACTGTATTAAAAATACAATAAACAAGAACACAAATTTTGAAAAATACACCAGAAAATTAATAAAGTAAGAGTAATATATTAATTATCATTATTATTAGTAGTAGGATTAGGAAAAACAAAAAAAAACAATACTTATAGTTATAGTTACAAGTACGAATTTAGCAACTACTAATAATTTTAATAGTTGAATTTATGAGTTAATTGAAGCTAGATCACCATAGAAAACCTGAAAACATTGGGCGGCCATTTCGTCCTATCGGTCTCGCATGCGAACGCTTAACTTCTAAACCACTGAGCCGGAATCCAATGGTATTAATATCTAATTTCAACTAATCTATGAAATTGAATGACACATCCACCATTGTCTTCAGTTAAAAACATATGGAAATGCATACTAATAAACTTTACAAAGTAATAGTTTATATACATATAACATAATTTTAAAAAAAAAACCCAGAAAAGATGGAAAATATATTAGTGAACAAGGGAGGTGAAGTTAAACATTGATATGCAAGAACTATGAGCTGTTAGTAAACAATAAAAAATTTTAAAGGATATAAATTAAGAATTTCATTCGTAAAGCAAAACAAAAAAAGAGGGCATTTTGTGTATGTGTGTGCGTGTGAGTGTGTGTGAGAGAGAGAGAGGTGGGGAAGGTAAGGGAGACGAGGCATTCTGAATAATGATAAAGAATTATGTGGATAATTTCACTGTTGTTTTTCTATTAAAAAAAAAGTATATATGATATTTGAGATAAGTGATAGTGGTCTAGCTTCAATTGACTCATGAATTTATTTAGTTTATGCCTTGAATATCATCTATAAAAATGATAGTGTTAAGATATTTATTTATTTCTAGGGTATTAATGAAAAGATTTACATCACTATAAATTTGTGAATCAATCAACATATACTTTTATGAACATAGATAACAGTAATTTTAAGTAATATGTTTAATTAAAGAATATTTTGACTAGAATTATTTTCATTTTCACAATTATTGATAAACTTTTGAATAGAACTATTAAATAACTTGAGATTATTTATGTTATAAATTGTGGATTTGTGCCTTTATCAATGTATAATGTAATAGTACCGCCAATTAGAGAACAGTGATTTATTGACTGGACCAATGATGCATAAAACACGTGCAAGCAGTTTAGAGTACTTATCGGTTCGGCTTCCTGCCCAGTCCTGCCTGTTAAGTGCAGAACACCACTCTCAGCCTCTGCAATTGTTGGGATATTCGGAAAAATATACTAATAATTATCCTGTTAAGTCTAATGGTGTCCTTGGACTTTAAATGGGCATTCCCTATTGCTAAATGTTCATTTCACTTGTCAAATATTGTACAAATGTTGTTTTCTATTTTATGGTACGATGTGGTCTGTTTGATTGGTATATAAACAGAGTATGTTTGAAATATAACGATTCATATCTCAGAGGCTGAGACTTCCGTTCTGGACTCAAATGGCTGGGCTAGACAAGGAGGCGGGGTCAATCGGAACTCTAGGCCGTTCGTGCGTGTTTTACGTGTCATTGCTCCGATCGATAATTCGCTGAGCATCTAATTTGCAGTCCACAAAACACAACACAATATGAATCATCTATTTCAAACATACTTGGTTTATATACTAACTAGATAGACCACATAAAACCATAAAATAGGAAACAACATTTGTACAAGATGACGCCAAATGTGGATGTGAATGTGGGAGATAGTAATTGATAGACTAGGTATAACTCAAGAATGGTAAATCGTATAATAACAGTTCATAGGTCAAAATAAAGTTTATAATAAGAGGAACATGAATAAGAATAGTTTAGTTACATAACAATTATACGATAAAAATATACGTATAGTATTGGTCCATAAATGGATCCTAAAAGTTACCATTCATTATTCTCATCGGAATATAACAATTTATTAAGAATAAAGTTTCCAATAAATTTGAAATAGTAATTTGAAGATTAAATAAACTTCAATATAAGAAAATATGTTGCCTATTTGGCAATAAAATAGTTTGAAGGTTAAAATAGATTTTTAAAAATTGAAACCTATTTACAAGTTGATTGCAAAAACACTTTCATTAATAACTGTTAAGATGACATAGATAACAAATTGCTTTAAAAGACAACAAATTTTGTTAACATGTGAGGTTTTATAAACAATTGAAAAATCCCCTTACAGGTAAATCATTTTATTTCTTAGTAACTGATAAGTGAAATCATATTAAGTCAACATTTATTTCATGAAATGATAAATATATAATTAATGGCAAATGTATTTGTGAATGAATGTACATACATGAAATCCATTTAAATAATACAACTTTATCGATAACCAAATTAACTACTGGATGTAATGAAGTTAAGCGTATGCTGAACTAGAAACTTTTGGAGGGTAATTTACCCGTATTTCAAAAAATCCATTCTGATGTAGTTTTTTACTGAAATTTGTCATATTTAATTTTAACTACTGAGTGTTAGTAAGTAGTAAGATTTTCCGACAGATATTATTGGACTAAACCTGACTATTGTTATACTCTTAGGTGATCAAGACATATGAAATCAAATTTTAAAAAATGGACTTTTTTCTCCGATATACATACTAAAGCCATTTAATAAAGGTAAATAAGGTAATTTCAGAGCACGCAATGAAACATATATAAAATAATCAAGGAAAGAATAGGAACTAACATGAGAAAAGTAGTAGGGTGATTAAAACGTTGAGAAAAGTGAAAAATGTTTAGATAAACGGATTTATAGAACTGAAATAGGTTTCACTGATTAGGCTCAGTGGTAATAATTTCAACACTTGTACTATGATTAACAAAAAGTTGAATAACGCTCGTTTCCCTTTTAGTATTTGTAAATTATACGGAACAAACTACTCGATCTGAATACCAAATTTAAAGCAATTCCTGATAATAAGTTTAAATTCATGCAATAAGATAGTTCGCACGCAAAAGCTTACCTAACGAATATATATATATATATATATATACTGCTAATTTTATACTGCATAGCTTTAAGTGTTAACCCATCATTTGTAGAATATCCCACGATAACAATTGGTTGAATAAAGTTGGGATAGTAGTGGAATCCACGACACACGTTTCGTACAAATTGGGACTAGTCAGCTGAATATATCTACTAAATTCAAGCGTTAGTGTTCACACTAAGACTTGAATCCTGGTATTTTTCCCTTCAAATAACAACTAATGATAAGAAAAATTACCCTGTAGACAAAGTTAGAGTTGTTTCCTTTTCATTTGGCGAAAACAAAATTAAACGAAACACACATACCGCATAAAACACCTCCGGAACGAATTGTTCTTTTGTAGTTTCTTTTACATAACCTAACTCAGGTGCATCATATGTCGGCACAAGAATATTATCTTTCACTAACGCCATAGCTTGATTACTAACTTGATAAGCTTCAAAATGTATATGATTCGATGCATCACCAGTGACAACAACCGTGGTAAATTTGGAACCAAAACATCCATCAGGACTTAGACGACAAATATTTGGATGAAGATTTTGTAGATGAGCAGCAGTGACACATTCTTCAGCACTTAAAAAGAAAGTATCCTGTTGAAGAAGAGGAGAAAAAAGACGTAGTTCTACATCATGTATGAGAATAAGAGAAACAACTAGCAAAATAATACAGTTGGACAATGTAAGAGAAAATCACTGATTACGGTTCATTTTTTGGAATGGTCAAAGTGTAATCTATTAGATATTTTGTGAGTAAAAGTATTCCCTCAGATATGAATCACTACTAAATTAAGGTATTTCAATAGTGAACAACAAAGCTGTTTAAAAGTTAAGTGTTCGCACCACAGACCAAAGGATCTGATTGTTACCTTTAGTAGAGTGATGGATGTACACTGTTAAGAATTTTCATAGTTAAATGAAACGGCTATTTAGAGCTTCTTGATTTTCATGGTTCGCGTAACTAAGATTCTCCTGTGATGAAAACTGCATTTTTGTGACAAAATTACACTTGATGATTAATTACACTAGAGTAGAGCAAAAATGCGACTTAAAAAAATACAATATACTGATTCTATTATGCAAAAGGAGATGAAAATCGTTTTAAAGTAATCAGTGTAAAAAGGATTAAAAAGATTTTATGATAAACATAAGTTATTGATTAATAATGGTAACTTATTTATCAAGAGTATAAATTTACGTACACGAATTTCATAAAACACTATCCCTGTCTCATGGTCAGTTCTTGTTGTTAGTCGGTTCAACACACACCACTTAGTTCTTACTGTTACCATCAACATAAATTTAATCAAAACCAATGAACTACTATGGTTGGTCAATCATAATAGTTCTCAAAGAGACGTTTTAAATTATGATATTACAGTTGAAATACTACCATAAACTTAATAAATATGTTTAGAAGGTTATACAGTTAAACACAGATATATCGAGAAAAAAGACTTTCTTTATTGCTATGCCCTGGAAAGGCCGAGAGTGGGGAGAGTTTACTCTTCCTCTCAAAATGCTCTCACATGGCCACGCATATACGCCCACTTCCACGGTAGTCCTACTCACTGCCTTCTCGCGGCCGGTCTATTGTTTAAGAAATTGAGAGGATGGAAATTGAATATTCGGCGCTTTAAGCGGGCTGGTGGACACGGAGGGTCAACCTAGGGGAGTTGGGAAACCCTGGTTCCAAACCAAATGTGCACATGAGTTCCAGGATTCTAAGGAAACAAATGGCGTTCGAACCCATTGTTAGTCACCGGATACCATGGTGCTTCATCTCCCAACGTTAATCCACCGTCTTGTGGATTAAGCCACTAGGTGAAAGACCCCTAAGGAAACTACATGCTTCGGTTTGGGCACATATAAATCACTAGTTTCTATAATTTAAACGATCATTTTTCAACTATATTTCAAATGAAATAGTTTTTCATACACATAGCTCCATTGATTATCTTGAAGAGAGAACAATAAAAGATCCTAGTAGAATAGCACGAATTCATTTTATTTTGTTTGGTCCAAAGTCAACTACTTACAACCTTATTTATTATTTATTTAAACACATAAATATTGGTACAAAGGAGCACCGAACACATATGCACCACACACGTCACTCGATTTGGGTGTGGCCTGTGATACTGCTCGGGTGCAGAGACAGAAGCAGATGGTTTTCTTAGTGAGTCACATCCGGAGCCTTCGATCTAGAGGTCTGATCCACAAGGCAGTAGAACAACGTCAGGATGCGACTCCATGGTATCCGGTGATCAATAATTGGTTCATACGTCATTTGTTCCCTCAGGATCCTGGAGCACATGTGCATCATTGGTTTGGAATCAGGATTTTCCAACCCCCTAGGTGGATCCTCCGTGTCCACCAACCCGGTTAAAGCGTCGGACATTGGTTTTTTGTCCTCTTAATTTCGTAAAGAACACCGGTGCCGCGAGAGGGCAGTGAGTAGGACTTCTGTGGGAGTGGCTATATACGCATAGTCATGTGAGAGCATTTTGAGAGGGAGAGAGGACTCTCTCCACCCTTGACCACACTAGGGCATTTGGGAGATCACTAAAAACAGTAATTACAAAATAGATTTAAATTAATTATATGAAAGAGTTTAGTTGGAAGTTATTTTGAAATAGTTTTACTGAATTATTGCACCTATATCCTAGATTTGATTTATACTCAGCGATTCGAATCCAAAACTATTCACGTTAAACACTAACAGGATGAACCACTCAGCTACTGATCAAAATTCAGTCAAAATATCAGTAATGCGATAATGCAAAAAATCATAGAAATAAACTCGACTACATACATTCTTTGGATAGTTGGAAATATTTCGAAAAAAAGAAGTCAACAACTACATTTCATCAAACTAATGCTAAATATTTCCCCAATCATCTAATTTACTTATTCACTAATGCTTTTTTGGAATAAAGTCTTAACAACCAAAAACAAATAATAGTATCTATGTACCAATTGAATAAGTTAATGGCGTTAATTGGATCTGTTTTAGTTTGAGCGAATAACAGATGTTTAGGCGTTTGAAATAAAACTTACCAAGTTCATTTAAGCATTTTAGTGTGGGACATTGATAGAACAATGTTGATATAACTGGATGATTAGTTCCAAATTGGATAATTCCAATGTTAACCACATATAATCAAATATATTATTAAAATATTCATACAAAAAGAAACTATTTATTATTCAAGAAATAAAAACACAAACTACTTACCACAGTACCACGAAAATGTTTGACAACACCATTACCATTTGAGTTTTGAGCGACTAAATCAGTAAATATCCAACCAACTGGCTGTAGACCAATTCGTTTAGCAACTTCCATGACATGTTTTGGTAAAACATTGTCGAGTGGACCGATTAATTTTACTGATTTCGGTGTGGATTCCTAAAAAGCGACAATAACAAATTAGGATAAATGTATTTTAAATAATCTGTAGATCTATTCTCAATAAACTTGTTCATTTATTTAAACATAAATATTGGTACAAAGATATATATATGCGCCACCTAGTAGAAACGAGATCGTGGAGATATAAAAAGGAATATGAGTATAATACAAAAGGAGCAAAAATGAATAAAAATTAGTGTACGATGGTGAAATAATAATAATAATAATAATAATAATAATAATAATAATAATAATAGGAGAAGCAGTTCGGTTACGAACAATACAACCAGAATGGATTCTTTCAGTTGTAGAAGTTAATTTCATTTATATGAAGAAAGTAAAAGAAAATTACAGCAGGACCGCCACCGGCTTCTATTATTAGCCATATCTGACGCCTCAAACCACTGAGTTGCACTGTCTCTAGAACCATAACCATGGAGTCGTGAAGGATCAACAGAAACCAGTCCTCTGCAGTTTTCTTTCATATCAATGACACCATGTAATATAAGTAGTTAGATTTAGTATGGTCAAATATTTAAACACCGGCTTAATAGAAACATGGATAAAATTTCATATGATATGTAGTGATAACCAAGGCGATATCACTCAATAAATAGTTATACGTTTGTATCCAAGGTGTTCAGCTATCTTCAGGATTATAACAAGGGTATTTACGTAGCAGAGAGCTGTTTAAACCTAAGAACATATTATGAAATAAAAGTTAAATAATTGTATGAACGAATTGTTGATTATCACATGAAAAACAATACGCTGATGGATAGACAAAATGCAATGATAAAGTGTAACTAAGGGATAGCTGCTCAAAAGATTATCTTATTGACATAAATCCCTGAGTGATTTGAAATCAATGACAAGACCAGTAGACTGATGAATAAGTTTTAATAACACACACAATAAATACTGATGGGTGATTGCAAGGAATCAGTCTTGTAGGTCAATCACCAATTAATTAGAACTTTAGTCATCACATCAGATACGAAAATCATAAATATAGTGCACAAATCACTAACCTACCGTTTCATATACATCAGATATAATGAATAGCTAGATGAATAAATCTGTATTTGATCAACTCTACCTAAAATTTTCTTATTTTGATCAGTAACTTAATGAAGGATCAACAAAGTAAGAGTGCATACAAGATTAACAATCATACAATATTACAAATTGGTTGAATTTGTAACTTGAAAATTATTTAGATAGAGTGTAGTAATTCTAAGAGCCTAAGGTAAAAACCAAAACAGAATATTATTTAGATAATAAATTTTAGACAGAAAATAACAACTTTATCCTTTTTACTTGAGCTGGTTCATAAATTACAGCTACAACTGCTTTTATTGCTAATGGAGGTGAACCTGGTGCATTGAAATGAGCATATCGGCCAAGCATAATACCAATACGTTGACAACTTGTTTGTCGCCAATAATCCAAAAATGTATTCATTAATTGTGGATTTTCAAATTGTACAAAATCTACATGACGATATGGCTGAATTTCTAAAGTTACTGGATTCGGTTGACATTTAGTACAAATTCCATTAGGCCATGGAGGATGATCACGACAACCGGGACGAATATGACAACTTAAATTTTCCAAAGATGAAAATTTTCCTCTACGAATAAAAAGATTATTGAAAATAAATGATGTGTTACTTGAAAAACGCTTTATTAAATCTAAAAAAATTTACTACTTATTAATTAGTAAACAACTAGTTGAATTGAAAACGATGCGATAAAATATATAGCTCTTCGTCACATGACCATGCGTATACAGCCACTTCCACGGAAGTCCTACTCACTGCCTTCTCGAGGCGGGTTTGCTGTTTACGAAACTGAGAGGATGAAAATCTAATGTCCGGCGCTTTAACTGGATCGGTAGACACAGAGGGTCCGCCTAAGGGGGTCGGAAAACACACAAATCAATGATTACTACTACTAACCTCATAGTTATTGTATGACGTATGTCTATCTGGTGCACTCTTGTACAAATGTTTATATGTCCAAATATATAAGTGAAATAGTTATACATCTTGATACTGTAATCATTAATTTATTAAAGAAGAATTTATGTAATAATAATCTGTGTGTACACAGATGAAACAAACTTAAATTTTCATAATAACTATGTTTCATAGATATTTAAGGGTATAAGATTTCACATTTAAGTAGATGTGGTTAGCATCTGAAGGAGTTTTGTGGAGATTTTAGTAATTTTAATAGTTGAGATCATGTGTGTGATGTAACTAATCTTACTGTAATATTATAACAATGTTTTAATATAGAAAATTCAAACGTCTATTGTCCACAAGAATTATTTAATTTACGCTGATAATCAATTCCTTTAAAGGTATACCTTCAACATTTTATTCACATACACATTGACAGTTATCCTTAAATATGTTTACTATGACGAAATATATAAAACTAGAAAATATGATTGATATATAATACTATTGTATGAAAATATGTTGTGATAGAGCTCTACAGAGAGGATATATATATTTAATTTCTTTTAGTAACTAAACTAAAAAATTTGTTTATATGTAGGAAGATGTGAAATCTGTCAACTTTTTTTAAAATCATGAATTAAACAGTGGAATATTGAAGAATTGTGACTACTTTATACAACAGTAGTATAAGAAAATGTAATATTATCCCACTCACTCGATTAACACTGACTGTCAGTGATTTCATTAACCCAAATAACACAAAATACAGTAATACACGTTTAGATCGGGGTAATAGATTGACATATTAATCACTCCTGTTGGTGACTAAGGTACCCTATGAGACACCTATCTTGAAAGTTTAATCAGTTCTCGTGAATTGGTGTCCGACAAAATTTCAGTGCAAATTCAGAAAGTTCAGCTGGCTCTCGGTAACTTACGTTACTTTTCGTGTAGGTAAGATGTTCTACCAACTAGAAAAACGAGTATACTGCTCAGCAGTTCTGTTTTATCGTTATGAAATATAGATCCTAAAAATAGAGCATATTCATAGGTCACTAATATTTCGCGTAATTTGGGACTATCGGGTAGGCAGTGCAGAGGTTAAATACTAAGTAATAAAAAAGATAATGAATCAAATGGCCAACCTGTGAATCTTCAACAACTGAAATGGCTAGAATATGTATTACGTATCACCAAATGTCGGCTACTTTGGACGCGCATTTTGCTAGTGTAGTCGTTTGGAAGAAAGCGAAACATCAGACCAAAATGTGACATCAGCCTATGAAGATAGTGACTGTCGGACTAAGTCGTGTTGGCAGATGCAGACTACATGGTTATGGTCTCTGCGATTATTGTAACCAGTAGTTGGAGATGTCAGGTAACATGACTCAATATCAATCACAACCCCATATATGTATTCAATCCCTATCGTTCCTTAAGTCTTGGGTCCTAAAATGAACTTATGCTTTTTATGCCACGAATTTATTATTTTTTGTTGAGTCATATCGTCTATGTTCGATTTTTTTACTATCCCTGATACTGTTACTACTTATATTACTCTTACATTTTTCCTGATACTTTCATCTGGGTGTGCCCATCCGATGTAGAAAATTCAACAGATGCACATATGTGCCAGGGCTCTATGTTGCTTGTGACTGATTGATAGAGTCGAGCATCCGACCTAAACGATGATTGGCTGTGACTGTAACTAATCAACTACTAAGACTGATTAGGTCAAAAAAATGGTGACAAAAAGTACATAAAATAAAAAATTCCGAAAGATATTTCTGAATGCTTTAAGATGAGACAAAAACGTGAGATCACATTCCAGACCAGTAAGATTCCTGTTCAACGTAAGGCTCATTCTACGTTAACGTGACATGTATTAACTGTGATACTCTTTGTAATTATCTGGTGTGAACATTATGTAGTATGATAAGCAGTAAGAGTTTTTTGTAGCGATTTCGTGTAATACTTTTGTATTGCCTCGAATTCGGTTGTATGTGATATTTGTGAGTAAAATCGATATTTAATGGTGTATTTAGTTGAATAAAATATCTTGCTGTCATCAGTCCTGGCTATTTTAAATATAAGTCGTGCGAATCAGTGTTCTTCCTTATTACAAGTATTATTTCCTTCAGAGTTATAACAGAATGAATCTAAATGATGGTATCAACACCATTTCTTGTATATTATAATACTGTCTTAATCTTCCTTTCTCATTGAAATACTTATTTTTTTATTATAGTATGTTATGGATTTGCAACAACTTACCTGATATTATCTGCTTTAAAGCTCCGTTGTCTTGCTCCTGTAAGATCGAATGATATTACTATCAATTAAATACACAAATCCTATTTACTTCATATATACCTCGTTGATTAATCTTGACAATAACAACGTGGTTGAAAACGAAAGCATTCGAAGAACGTACATTTCAAAGGTTCAATAATGTAGACGAACGATAAGAAATGTATGTGAAGTAGTGATAAAAACAGAAAACTCAATTTCATCAAGGATGATTCAATACTCACAGTCAGACAGAAAAACCAAACTAAAGGCATGTGACAAAGAGACCATGTGATAATCACAAACGCACATACACTCATACAAAAACAATAAACGTTACAAGCGAATATGCAGAAAAATAAACTTACTTGCTCTGTCCACCAGTTAATTTACGTAGATATGCATGAAATGACATAAATTTCACTGGAGGATCTAAATGTTCCAAATAGGCTGAATCAAAAGGCTGCAAGTTATAAGGAGAAAAATCACAATGTCATGTGGCTACATGGATATCATTACTAATGATTACACAATGATCAGTAGCGATCAGCCGTATGCATTAGATCAATTATAAACCATGAACGAATGTAGCATAAGATGATGGTAACAATCGTACGCTTATCGACTAGATTGTACACTGATGACTATCTCTGTCTTGTATTGGGTCATACAGATCAATATGGAGAGACATTTTTATATGACTTGAATTTTAAATACCAATATGACATCAGATAATCAGATCTACCAGCTGAGACTTGTTATATAAATTATTCTACGATTGTAAAAGGTTATTAACGAAAAGAATATTAGTGTTATAAGGCTGCTAAATAATTACCGCTTACTGCACTTCTACATTATGGTTGACAGTGGCTGACCCCAATGTACTGCATTACTGGAAGCATAAAAATGATAGGTGGTAATACAATTATTTTACATCAGTGATAGAAAAATGTATTCTATTTGGCACAGACAAGTTTATCAGCAAAATTTATATGTTTATCTCAGTCACACAGATAGAGAGCAAGTGTGATCTTATGGGGAAGAAAACCCAATTACTAACTCTCCGTAGCTTTTATACGTACGTGAATCTTCTTTTAAGGGAAACCGAGACTGAAGTGTTCAACTAGAAGTGATTAAATCTGCACACAACTTTGTTTAACATGGAATATTGTGAAGATAGTCTGATAGCCACTTGTAATGGAAAATTAATAATGAGACTTAAAGACCGAAGATGTCAAAACAGAATAGTATTTGTATCACCAAAGTCACTTAAATTAAGCTGTCAATAGTAGTATCACTGATAACTTTTACCATAAAATTCAATTTCTACCAATACAATAATATTCATTTTTAATCTACTTACGTATTGATCAATTAACGTGGTGCTGTCAATCAGCATGTATCTGTACAAATATGTTAGAAATCTTAATCATAATGCACACTAATGGTTGTAGCACCATCATCACCAATCGTGCATACATATTTATTGAACATTGAAAACCCAAGTAAATGTATACTTTCAAATACAATATTTTAAAGGTGTATGAATGGTGTTTGTTATCCTAGCGTTTCTACTATTACTTAACATAAGTCAGTCAGTTACAAACGCTATAGAACCTGAAAACAAGGTGTATCACCTTAGGTTACATCACGTTAGTACAACTAGATGACAGCATCAAGATGAATAACAATTTTTCAGATAGAAAAAGAAAAGAATTAGGGATTGAGGATATAGATCAAGAAGAATGAATTTGCAAAATAGGTATTAACAATCTAAAATTCAGTATCTAAAGCAGGACAACGAATGAACAAATACGAGCCATTGTGACCGATTTCGAGACACGGCACTCAATGTCTTCAACAGCTGATTATGACAATCTTATGGAGTGTAACTAAAAGAAGCATTTTCAACTAATAAAGCTCTTCTATAACGGCGAGAAATCCAAGCGTCCATTTCGATGCACTGTGAAATACAACTCCTATTTTTCGCTTTTTAAACCTAGCTAAACTCAAAAACAAATCGTAAAAGGAAGATTTATAGAACAAAACCAAAGGTGTTCGATTTAGACAAGCAGCAATGGGATACATATGTATATATTATATATAGTGTCGAAATGGACACACTGAAAAAGTAATGAAACAATCATGACAAAGTGCATTAAGTTGTGATGAAAATGACTCATGACTACAATGGGAAATCTTAAAGTAGAAGAAAAGAAATTTGAATTTTACAGAAACCAAGTGGCGAAACGGATAGTAAGTCGTTTTGCATAAATTTAGATATCTTCCACAGAAAAAAATTAAACTGAAATTTATAACCAATATGTCACTTAAACATCTACTACTAACAAGTCCGTCTTAGTTGAAGAGATGTATCATGAGCAATAACTGTATTAACAACTAGTTCACATAGAAACCATTCAATTCAGCTCTAGGATGAGGAAACGAACAAAAATCTCAACTGATAATTGAGAATTAGAATTAAATTACCTCAAGGGGAACACAGTGGATACATTGCCCAGATAAGGGATGGTGACATCTAAAAGTAAAAAAACGTCTAAACAGTAAATTGGTAAATGGAAAAAAGCTGAACATCCCGTAGAAAGACGTTTACAATGTTTTATTAGTCAAATGCTTACTACGAACACAACCTATACTAGCACCTGCAACTTCTAAACAGCGTTTTGCCAACATAGTTCAGTCCTTCTTTACCAATAAATCATATGATAGGTAATCTAAATGGACGAACCCTATCTCGACTACGTTTTTATCATACTTCCTAATCCTTTCATAATAGTGACTTTTTTCCTTTAGCCACTTTCTAACATTGCCATCCAGTTCTATACAGAACGTTTTGAACCACGTCCCACTTACTTCGGTTTGACCAACTGGGTAGTATCATAATCCATTGGACTTTGAGTGTGGTTCGTACCGAAATACCTGGTGAATGAGTTAATTATGGTTCTGGTCCATTATTTTAAACAAAACATGTTTTTCTATTCAGTAAATAGGATTGTTATTCCACGTCGAAAAGCGGATAATACGATATTAAGTAGAAAAAATAACTCTTACAATTGTTCATTTCTTTTACGGTGAATACGACCATCCATTTTAGCCATTTCTTGGTCAACTTTATCTTCTACTGGCGGTCCACAGGTAGACCAATTATTAAGATTAATATGAGAGCTGGAATCATTTTGCTATAATCGTGAATTAAGGGTAAAACTCAAGTTAATATTTTGAATTTCGGCAAAAGAAAACTTATGATCAAAATAAACTTGAAACCCGTTTTACTAAATAATCATTAAATTTCTTTATACTAGAATACATTAGCGATCAAGCGTATAAACATTCATATATATATATATATATATATATATATATATATATATATATATATATATATATAACAGGATTCACGCCATTTTAAGCCATAGTCATTACTCTGCAATGAATAGACTTTAGTACTAGGTCATGGACAACTTATTTGGGAACCAGATGTCTAAGATACATACCATTGTGCTGAGGAGTATTTATATAACTTGATAAATCAGTTACGTTTGTTGGCTATAGAATCTCAGTTCTGTGATAATGTAAATTGTGTTCGCACATTAAGTTATTAATTAGTCAATATCAAGTGCTGCTTAGTTTCATTTATCTAAAACGGATTATTGATCACTGCCCCCAAATGCCCTGGTATGGCCGAGAGTTGGGTGGGTTCGCCCCACCACTCGAAATGCTCTCACATGGCTACGCGTATACAGCCTCTGCTACGGAAGTCCTACTCACTGCCTTCTCGTGGCACCGGTGTTGTTCACGAAAATGAGAGGACGAAAAACGAATGTCCGGCGCTTTAATCGAATCTCAAACCAATGGTGCACATGGGCTCCAGTATCCTACGGGAACAAATGGCGTATGAACCAATCGTTGGTTACCGGCTGCCATGGGAATGCATCCCCTCACGATGCTCCACTGCCTTGTGGGTCAGACCTTTAGGTCAAAGGCTCGGGGTGTAGCCCCCTAAGAAAACCACCTGCTTCAGTCTGGGCACCCGGGCAGTATCACAGCCCACACACACACAAATACGGCGTGGCGCATATATATTTGGTGCCCTCTTGTATCAATATTTATGTGTTGAAATAAATAAATAAATAAGAATGTATAAAAACTAATGTATTTAGACATAGTTTTGACCTTTATTTGTTGAATAAATCTTTAACTCTCGTAGTTATCTTCTTCGTTGCATAGAGCTATATCACTTTTTTATTTAGCTGTGAAACAGAATTCATGCGAAACTTGTAAAAAAATGACTAGCAAGCAGGTTTATTCACATTGTAAGTACAGAGACCACACTTTAAAAATACACTACATCCTTAAACATATTTGACTGATTGAAAGTCTAACGGTTTTGCATGCAAGCCGTTGTATAAGTGCTAATAAAATTTAAATTCTGTTCACTAGCGTAAGTGTGCAATATGTAGCATTTAGCACCAATGTGGTTAAACCATAAGATGGGGTGACAATTTATCTATACATGGACTGTAGCAAATAGTTCTACCGTGTATTACGTAGGAGCAATGAAGTTTCTAATAAGTAACGTGTAATAAGACTGTTTTCCATGTGTATACATAGATTGTAAAGAAATATCGGGAAATAACAGGTGAACTGGTGTACATACGGGTGGACTTAAGTGGTTAATAAACTACCATACATACACATACTCGTCGTAGAAAATTCAACTGACATGAGTCTCCCTATTGAGCAATAAATAATATCCTGTCATGTAGTATTATGACAATAAATGTAAACTACTGAGTTCGTACAAATAATCTGAAATCACTGGCACAATTTACTTGGTCTTTATTAGCAGTTTCTTCGCCACGACTTCTGGGGTGATCCAAGAGGAAGAGAAGATCCCCGTGTCTAAAATGTAGATAGGTGTCAATGATAACAACGAGTACTTTAAACCTAATTTTGCTAAACGTGTATTCAGGCTGACATTTAGACGTTCAGACTGGCTATGAGATCGCGAAAGGCACCAACTATCATTTCGGCCAATGCCGAACTTTTCACACACTAAGCTTAAAAATTTATCATAGCTATCAGTTTCTGGCAGTTCTATCCTTTTTATTCCGTTCGGAGATTGTACACGAATGATCATCAGGATTGATTTGCCGCTTCAATTTCTGACTCATTATAAGCACAGATTCGTAATTTTTCACACAAAAAATTATTCAAGTTATCTTACGTATCATTTTTCATTCATTCACCGTGAAAATACCTCTGAAATCTATTTTTTAAAAGACAGCGGCAATTTCCTCGATGAGTACATTTTTATTGTTTCCAGTCTCCATTCTTAAGTAATGAGGATAGTAGTTCGGTGAACTTGTGTTAATCCTGACACGTCGCCTTCCAGTGAAGCTCCAGCTTCTCCTTGATACTACTTGTTCTGGTATGGCGTTCCAGTAATTAACTACTCGATGGGAAAAACAGGACCACACGTTAAGTTTGTTAGATCGTGAGATTAGATGGTGGTTGGAGGTAGTCAACAGGAAACCCTGGTGGCCACATTGCAACATGATCGATAGCATTCGATCTGCACTAATAAGGACTAGACAAGCATGAGATTGATCACCACCCAGTGATCAATCAATTGTGGTTAGATCGTGGTTCGTGAACTTTCTTGCTATGACCTCGGGAATTATTAGTGCTGGAGGGAGTTGGTTACATATCAAGACTACTGTTTTTACTTTAATTGAATTTATTTCAGTCAAGGTATCTGCTCAGAGTATCATTTTTGCTTCCATAGTAGTCGGTACCTTAGAGTACCTTGTTTCTATTGTATTTGTCAGCACTTTTGGTTCTAACGATTTACAGCTTTTCAACCTTTTGACCATAAATCACCTTTTTTCTAAGTATTATTTGGTCTTGGTTTTTGAAAACTTCCGTTTGATGGCTGGAAAATGCAAGAAATCAATTGTCAACGCACGGACTGTCGAAAGCGGTGTGCAGTGCGACGAGTGCAAAGTCTAGCACAACGAAGTTAACGCCTGCGGCTTTCAAAAGGTTGATTCAAAATGGTTGCAGATGGTATTGTCATCAGTGCTGCTCAGATATAAACAGCTTGCTAACCGAGGACATTTCAATGGTAAATGCTTCCGAATAGTGCATTAGCGAATGAGGTCAGAACAAAACTGAGAGTACTCGCTTTGTTGACACACAAATTGATGTGAAGCCACCTCAAGTGAGCTCGGAAACAGCTGACTCACAATGATCAAAGAAGTAAAGGCTGACTTTATAGAGTCTGTTCTAAATAAAAACTCAGGAAAGGAAGTTTCCTCTACCTTCCATCCCCTAAATGGTACCCGAAAGGAAACGCTCAAGAATGTCAGCCGCAATGCTAGTTCTTTTTTCCAGCAAGAAGCTCAACCTCACTTCCCAAGTCGTCGATAGCCGTCCGAAATCCCAGTGTGTTTGACGCGACTGTGGTTGCTTCTCCAACGAAATTTGGGTACAGGTCGAGAAATTAAACACTTATCACAGTGACCATTCAATTATATTTCATGGAACCAAGGAGAGTGAAAGCTGAAACTCCTTTTTGAACATTACATTGGGTGGATAAAACAGCTACTAAATCAGCTTATGCCCCAGCATTAAATCTCTTGATAAACAGAACTTAATATTACAGAATGGACATAAACAAAAGGGTTCAGGAGTTTTTGTCTGTAAGAACTTGACACTTTCAGACCGCACAGAAAGACGAGAAGCTGAAAAAGAACTCCAACCTAGGTTAGACGCTGGCAATGAGGTTCTAAAAATTATAAATTTTTGGGCTGTGAGGAATTGACAGGGAATGTTGCCGAAGCCACTCTAAATGCATCACGAAGCCATTTAAATAGGCTTCAAATCTGTTACACAATGCCCGAAGCTTGCTTAATAAGCGATCGGAACTAGGTGTATAGTTTAACTCTAGTTGCTGCGGTTATCACATATGTCTTAGTTCAACATGTGAAAGAAGCAACTAAGTACAACCCGGATTCTGAATCATCCTTACTAGATCTTATATTGGCCCATTATGAGAATGACGTCACGAACCTCGATTACATGCCACTCCAGGGTAGAAGTGGTCGTGCAGTTCTAACTTTTACTTTCATGTAATTGTCAAACACGAGCACGCATAAGCTCAATCTAGACCTAACGTCTGGAAAGCAAATATACAAGATATTATACACTCAGCATCGTCGGTAAATTGGACGATTGAGCAAGAGTCCTCAATTGAAACAGCTGAGACATATTTCGAAATTTATGCTTAAAAATTACCGCACCCCACATCTTTTCGACTATGCCAAAGGGGTCGAGAACTTCACCATAATTCAGTAGGGAGGCTAACATCCTTCTCCGTAAGAGAAGAAAAAATGTGGGACGGATTTAGGTTACTAGGTACTGATGAGACAAAATCTTGACGTCGAGAAGCTTGGAATACTTGCATCTCGACCGTTCATAAGTCTGGAGGGTTGCACGCAGAAAATATTGATCTTGCCTGTTAACCAACATGCCTCGTGTAACAAACTGTTATCTGAGAATAAATTATCATTATCGTTAAAAATCTATAGATCTCCCTAAACGCTTGTATTTGTGTATAAACCAAAGGACTAAAAGTAGAGGAAGTATTCTAGCGTTATGGGGAGACGCTACCGCTTCATCATTAGTAGAGAACGACTACGGTAAAGCTCAAGTACTCTCAAACTACTTTAGCAGTGTATATACCGTACAAACATTCTCTCCGCCAGTCCATACAAATCCCCCACGCGCACACTGTATAACGTGACCATTAAAGTACTCGAAGTCTTTGGTCTGTTAAATGAGCTAGACATAGGCGAATCCATGGGACCCGATGAACTATATCCTAGGTTACTGAAGGAACTAAATAACTTCGTTGCGAACCGCCAAAGCATATGCTTTAATCTATCTGTAACTCAGAGTCATTTGCCAAAAGACCAAAAGAACGCTATAGTAAGTCCTGTCCTCAAAACAGGCACGAAACATAATCCTGAGAACTACCGACCCGTTAGCTAAATTAGAGTGGCTGCTACAATTTTAAAAAAGATTATCCAGAAGGAGCTGTTTAAGTACCTCGATGAAAACTGGATCCTTTGAGAGAAGCACCATGGTTTTAGAATATTTTTTCCTGTCTCGCTAACCTAATGGTGGCCAGTGATCTCTTGAAGACCAAACGTTACTTATAGACGTAGCCTGTATTGACTTTAGCAAAGCTTTTGACAAAGTTCCTCACAACCGGCAGTTCTATAAGTTAGAAAATGTCGGGGTTGGATATAATCTATTGATGTGGATAAAAGGCTTCGTAGTTGGACTCCAACAAATAGTACGGATGAACTCCAAGTTGCCTGGCTGTGAAACTGTGCCTAACGGAGTGCTTCAGTGTACAGTTTTGGAGTCAGTGTTATTCCTATTGTATGCGAATGACCTTCCTCGTCTCCTGTCATCGGTCTTGTTATATGCTGACGATGTTAAGGTATGGAGAGCAGTAAGAAGTAAAGGTATAACTTAGAACTTCGAAATGACTTAGAGAGATTATCTGAATGGTTTCAAACCTGGTACTTGCCAATAAATACTACCAAGTGTATCTTGATGCGGATTGGTTATAAAGGTACAGAAACACACATGTTGAATAACACTGAGCTACACGTTGCCCAGACACACTGACTTAAGAGTGACTGTTTGCAAAGACTTGAAACTACTGCACACTGACGTGCGACAGCCGCTAATGTTTTAAAAACCTTATAGTCAATACGCGGAGCCTTTAGTCACGTAGACGCTAAAACATTTTCGACTTTGTATACATTATTCATGCGTCCTAAACTTGAGTATTACATACAAATGCCAGCCCATGCTTAAAAAAGACTAAGCTTTGGAACAAGTTTCAGAGAACAGTAACCAATCTGATTCCTAGAATAGTGAAGCTCCTGTATGATGCCAGACTGGCTAAACTAGGCCTGTTACTGTATTTATGCTGTATCTACGTTCACTAATATATATCTGTAATCACGTCCTTTGTGCTATGTGTTATTCAAAGCAGCCACAGTACCTTGATACGACGAAGAGGTTATCCACGTCAGGTGCTGACCGCGAGATGTGACTTCGAATTTAGCTGTTAGTTACATCATTTCCGCTCCAGTCATTCGACATAGATCATCTACGTTAATGATATACAGTATAAATTATAGGGCGCCTAGAAAAAGTTGCTCGTCAAGGTAAATAAGTTCCCAAAGTAAATTGTCCCGTAGGTTTTCAACATCAATGCTGACCTTATTGTTTTAACTGAACAGACACTAGCTGAAAGCACTCGGTCATGCATCCGCATTAAATCACTAGTGGCTACGCCATGTTGTGCATCCATTGCAACTGCCAGAAAGCCTAAACCAAACGCTTCTCGACATTTCGATAGATATCCGAAAATATATTCAAACCCCATCATTGCTTATTTCTGATTCAACCGGATTTATATACTTCGATTATGGTGTTGCTTGTAAAATCGTTTCCGAAGTCCGAATACTTGTGACATCTTTTTGCTTGATAATTAAGATTATGAGATGTAGAAATCCGAGCTGTTTGATGATACGTGTGTTAACTCCCCAAGAGCCAATCTCCGTGAATATTATCATTGCTATAAGAGAGTGTAATTCCACTAAAACAATAGTCCAATAGGTATTTGTGATTTTGTTCCGATTCATAACATCAGTGGTAATGTTGGTGATAGTGTTTTGTGAATATAGTTGTGTTTCATTGCTAGGATTGGGTCTATGTGTGATGTTCCTTATTGGTGTGCAATAGATATGGTATGTACATGAGGTAACCTTGGCGCCGTGGTGGCGCACTAGACAAGACGCTTGATTGCCTATCGGTTGTTTTTATGTTCATCCGTATTATAACGTGTTGATTATTAAGAAAAGCTGGGTTTTCTGAGATCTACCTGGAGTTATTATGAGTATTTCTTTTCTGTATATAATAATAATAATAATAATAATATATTTCTGCATGTGCAGGTACACACCGTTTTTACAGGCATGATCTATAAATTACAACATTTGTTGGTTCGCAAAATGCTTCCCAATTTATTAAGTTTATAGTTGTTATAAAGTGAAATCGTAGAGCGCTTGCTGTAAACTATGACCTTGAGAGGACGCGTACGTTAAGTTTGCTCCAAACGTCAGAAGTTTCATAGTTGTGCTCTCAGAGCAAGATTCTGAAGGAGAAAAAAAAGAAACAGAGGAGCAGCAAGGCACTTGGATATGAACGCCAAAGGTTGCTTAACAACGTGTAGTAGAACGGACAGAGGTATAATAAATTAGAATAAATTCATATTATGTCTTGTTAGAGTGAAGTAAAGTCAGAGGCTCCATATTAGAGAATGTACTAATAAAGAACAATGAGTTGTGATGTTTAACAAGTTGGAGTAAGCTCACATGAAGGAAGGGAAGTCAAGGTTGGTACAAGGGAAGCGGTTTATTAGAAGGGTGTGTATATAGAGGATGAAGTGTTAAGAATACTAGTGACTATATCTTTTATTGTCTTTTTTCTTTTCTTTTTTTGTCCATCCGATGTCAGCCACGCAATCCTAGTGTAAAAGTCCGAGTTAGCATGTTATAGGTTGTCTTAGTAGAATAGCTAATCCAGCATATTATTGGAAACATGAGTCTGAGTGGTGAGCGTAGGAAGACAATCTATATCTTAGATTGACTGTCTTATTCTCAATTATAAAGAGCCTGATACATACAAAATGTTCTGTCCCCACAAACACTGGTGGATTGAAGTTATCGCCCTCACCATCAATGCTTGCTGGTCAGTAACTCCACCCTCCCTCCTTTTGTGATGTTAGGCTCATTTAAGCTTATTTTTGTATATACGTCATACCTCACACAATCCTCTGTTTCACAACTTGTTGGAAAGCACTATTTCTATAAGTACCATTTTACAAGCTTATCAGGCAGTTACAAGCTGTGGACTGTGGGTAAAGCATCGATGCAGTGCCTCTGTTGACTATAGTATAAAGTATAGTTTGCCAAACAGAGTATAAGCGTTAAGAAGGGTATATTGTAGGATAGTTGTTTATTTAAGCAGGCGGAAAAAGTATAGAAGTATGAGTTGTGGATAAGGGAACGAGTGGAGAAATAATATTAATTGCTAGTCAACATAGTGTACAGAAGAGTAAAAAGTTAATATAGGATAAACAGGAAGGAACTCACAGTAACTTGGTGCTGATGTTATTTTCTGTTGTCTTAACCAGTTGATTGGTAACAGGTTCCATAGATGCAAGACCACTGGTAGTAGGCAGCCGATTGTGGGGTCCTCTTGACTTTTTGTGGTGGTAGTGAGTGTCCCTTATCGACCGAGTTTAGTTTAACAGTAATGATAGGTCCAGTGAGTTACCTGTCTACTTCAAGTGAAGAAATGGGGTGGAAAAAGTAATTAATACAACTGCAAAGTAGGAAAAATAAGGCAAACTGAACTTGAAGTCCATTTTGGTCTAGACATGGAGAGAGCCTATGATGTCTGAGTGGGGTGCAGATGTGTTCGTACGTGCAAGATCGGTGCGAGTGAGGGCTTGATCAAGCAGTTTCACAAACGTATGTAGTTCATCTGCCATGCGAGTCTCGGAAGGAAGACTGTTCCATATTATTGCATACTTGGTGAGGAAGAAGTTTTCCCGAGTTTTTGATCTGTATTTCTCAACTTTGACCGTAGATACTTTGTTTCGAAGTTCGTATTCATGTGAAGCTCGGGCAAGAATTATCTGACATGTTGAGTAAGTAAGGTTTTTGAGTAGTTTGAAGTAGAGAATCAAATTAGACCTAAGCCTTCTCTCCCAAAGGGGTGCTATTCCTAAGATTTGACATCGAGAACTGTAGTCAATGACCGAGTCAGTCTTAAGTACTTTGCGGGTGAAGTCTCGTTGTATTCCTTCCACCTTTAGTATATCAGATAGACGTAGGTTGGAAAATAAGAACGATCAGTATTCAACGATAGGTCTTACACAAACTTTGTAAAGAAGGATTTTAGATTCATTTTGATAGAAATTACGGAGAATGAAGCCAAGCAATTTCCGCATTTTGGATGCTTTGGCTGAGATGTGTTCAGAGAAATTAAGACTGTGTGAATAATGTACCCCTAGGTCAGTTACTGATGCCAGTCTGGGGAGTGTGTGATCGCTAATTGTTAGTTTCATTTTAAGAGACGTGTCTCCTATACATAACCAGCCGCATTTCTCTATGTTGAGCTCTAACCTCCAGCGTTTGCACCAGTCATCTACCATGTTGAGTTCATGTTGGATTGTTTGCATAGTACTGCGTAAATCGCAAATGTCAGTTTTATAGATGACTTTTAAGTCATCGGCATAGAGGTAGGTCTTACCTGTGCTGAAACACCTGCATATATTGTTGATGTAGATTATAAAGAGCAATGGACCCAAGACACTACCCTGCACAACACCACTGGTTATCGGTCGAGGTGTAGATGTATTAGAGTTAATCTTGGTTATTTGATATCTGTTCGTAAGAAAAGACTTGATCCATTGCAAAAGGGGATTTATAATTCCAACTGACTTCAGTCTGTTGATTAGAAGATTATGAGGTACTTTATCAAAGGCTTTCTTAATATCGAAGTATAGTATAATAACTAGTTTATTCTGGTCACGCATACGAGTAACCTCGTTAAAGAAGTCTATCAGGCATGTACTGCACGACCTTGTTCTAATGAAACCGTATTGTGACGGGTCTATTAGATCTTCCTTGAGTAGGTGATCAGATAGTTGATTTTGTATCACTTTTTCCATTATGCGTGATATGACTGGAGTGATATTTATAGGTCTGTAGTTTTCTACCAGGTTTCTCGGTCCGGATTTGTGTTTGGGAAGAACATACGTGGATTGTAATATTTTATTATTTTTCTGCTACCTGTCCATTCACATAAGGTTCATACAGAAAAACAGGACGAAGCTCACGCGTTCCAAATTGAAAGCATAAACTGCTTATATATGAACGCCGCGAGTCTACCAAACAAACTGGATGAACTACGTGAACTTAGCAACGCTAATAAGGCCCATCTGATAGGAATATCTGAAACCTGGATATCTTCTCAGTTCTCGGACCAAGAGTTAGCATTACCTGGGATGACTTTGTTCCGCAACGACAGAAAAACAGGAATTGGGGGCGGAGTAGCCATATACATAAGCTCTTGCTTGGAGGTGCACCAGGTTCACAACCTCGAGTTTAACAATCTTGAGGAATCCATATGGTGCTCTGTAAGATTGTCTAGTACTTCCAGGTGTCTAGCCGGAGTCATTTACAGGAAGCCAACTGCCGACACCGAGTACGATAGTCGTATGCTGGAAGGACTATCCCGCTCTATCAGTCTCGGTTTCACACACATCCTGATTCTAGGGGACTTTAATCTCCCTAGAGTCAACTTCGCGGAACACACGTACACTGGAAGCGACAACTCAACTGAAGCTCGGTTCTTCAACCTCATCGATAACTTGGGCTTATATGAAAATGTGAGGTCGGCAACTCGTTGGAGAAACAGTCAGACACCATCGCGCTTAGACTGTGTATTCACTAACGAAGAATTCCTAGTCGACAACCTCTCAATCCTGGCTCCTCTGGGAAAAAGCGATCATGCCGTCATAGCCTTCAGTTTTGTCATCAAAACTAAGCTAAGGTATCCCAACAATAATTTGCGTTGGAATTTTAAACGGCTGAATGTGCCAGCTCTACATGACTATCTACAACAGGTGGTTTGGGATGTTCACCCTCAAATCGATGTGGATGGTCATTGGGACTTCTTACTGCACACGCTCTTATGTGCTACAGACCATTCAGTTCCTCAAACGGTTCCCAAAAGCTGCAAGCCACCTACAGTAATCAAGAACCGTACCCTTCGCCTCCTAAGCCGCAAACGGCACTATTTGGCGGAATACAAACGAACTAATAACGATGGAGCGTATAGGCAATACAAACATATCAGGAACACATGCACGAAGGCTATAAGAGAAGACAGGCTTCAGTACCAAACAAAGCTTATGGACAAATTCGCCTCTAACCCTAGAAGCCTATTCCGTTATGCAGCCTCTCTTCGTCAAGCCAAAACAGGAGTTTCTCAACTGCTAGGTCTTAACGGCCCGACCAACAACGATGGCGACGCCGCTAACCTTCTGGCGGCCCATTACTCTCAAACATTTCAACCGGCTGACATCAACTTTATTGACGACAGTTTCATCTCCAACTCCACAGGATTTTCTGAAGTGGACCTAAGCGCTGACTTGGTGTTCCGGAAATTGCAGCACTTAAGACTTGACACTTCTCCTGGCCCGGATATGGTTCATCCTGCCATACTGAGGGAGGCAGCCTCAATCCTGGCAACGCCGCTTAGCGTGATGTTTTCACACTCGCTTAGCCGAGGCAAATTACCGGAAAATTGGAAGTTGGCTCACATCACACCAATTTTCAAAGGTGGTCGACGCAATGAACCTTCAAGTTATCGGCCGGTGGCTCTTCTGTCATTACCTTCAAAACTCATGGAGTCCCTGATATGCGACGGTTTAAATGACTATCTACTGTCCTTAAATTTCTTCTCACCCCAACAGCATGGTTTCAGGAAGGGTTACTCTTGTATAACCAACCTGCTGACTGCGGTGGACAGATGGACAAGCATCCTCGATTGCAAGGGAAAGGTTGACGTCATTTACCTTGATTTCTCAAAAGCTTTTGATAAGGTTAACCACTTGTGTCTTATCAACAAGCTCAAACGACTAGGTATCAAACCACCTCTAATCGATTGGCTTACTTCATACCTAAAAAATCGACACTTTAAGGTTAGGGTTACTTTCACTTTATCTCAAGCTATGGAATGTCCTAGTGGGATCCCCCAGGGCTCAGTGCTAGGGCCTCTTCTCTTCTTGATCTACATAAATGATCTTCCTCAACAGGTAACGTCAGACTTATTACTTTTTGCCGACGACGTGAAACTTTGGAGAGAGATACGCAACCAAGACGATTCACAGGCACTTCAGGAGGATCTGACGCGACTTCAAAGATGGGCAGACGATAACGGACTTACCTTTAACACTTCAAAGTGTAAAGTAGTCCATCTGCGACATGTCGCAAACTACAGTTACAACTTAGGAAACTCCTCTCTAGTAGTATCCCAAGTCGAAAAAGATTTAGGAGTCCTGGTGCCCCATGACTTAAAGTCTTACGCTAACTGTGACAAAAATGCCTTCCGAGCAAACCTTGCACTGGTAACGTTGAGGCGCATTTTTGGCCAGTTTGACGGAAGAACGTTCCATATAATCTTCAATAGTTTCATCCGTCCCCATTTAGAGTACGGAAACATAGTACTCCCCCCCTCACTCCAAAAGGACAAGGTCACTTTGGAGCGTATCCAACGTCGAGCCACGAAATCAGTTCGAGGACTCAAATCTAAGCCTTACGAAGAACGCCTCCGTTCACTAGACCTTTACCCACTAGAATATAGGCGTCTTAGAGGTGATTTATTAATGGCTTATAGTATTCTTAACACTTCTGGACATCCTCTTAAACACCTACTTAAGCTTAGTTCGAATAATAACCTAAGGGGTAACACCCAGAAACTGGAAACACAACACAGCAAGACGGAATGTAGACACAACGTCTACTCCTTAAGAGTTGTCAAAAGCTGGAATTCGCTGCCGGCCGAGCTAGTCCAAGCGACTTCTCAGGAGTGTGACGACCGAAATCCCGATATTCGGTTTGAATGAAGAACTAACGAAGCAAATTTTATTTTATTAGATCATTCTACGTTCTACTGTATGGCGTAGAAAGCACTTTTTGAGTTGCATATGCCTTCACGTTTCAGAAGTGCAAGCTGCCAGGAAAAGGATATAATACACGCCATGGCTACAGCAAGCCAGGCCTTCTTGCATGACGCAAGAGATAAAGTACATAAACGTGGATGGCGATCGAAAGAAAGGGTGAGCTAAAACTACTTAATATGTTTGTTATAATACATATGTTAACTTTGTCCCACATTGTTCCTACTCGTTCCCCTTCCTACTCTTTTGTATATTGTTTAATACTACTTAATAAAATTCAGTAGTCAGTTGTATTCCCAATAACTGAAGTTCACTTTAGGGATTTCCCCAAAATTCACAGGATGTTAATTATCATTGTATTTATCACTATAATCACTGTACTTTAATTACTGTAACAGTTTATTACTTTGTGATCAATACTCAAAGTGATATAACTTGTCTCTTGTATGTTTCCCTTTCAGCTGGCTTCGCAGGCTTTATCAGACGTAACTGTAAGTTCTTTGTTCGCATTATTAAGAACGTTGTTATACTGTTGGTACATCATCAACCTTTCACATATCTTGACACGTTATTATACACTAAAAATGATTTATTTATTTATTTTTTAGAACATTATCAATGACAGTTCTACGTCTACGTAAGGTGTTGCTGTTACAACGTAATGAAAAACTTTGCATAAATGAATCATTTGTAATTTTATTAACTGTAATAAACATTTATATATGTCATAAATCAGTCTTTTGATAATCGCGATAAATCGGTTAACATTAAGTTTCATTAGCAATGCGCGATTGACGAAAAGTAATAAAACATCCTAGTAAGAAATGTACGTAAGCATTCTCCCTAGGTCTTCCGTGATGTCGATAGGCTTTCGTAAAGCTTTTGCGTTAAAACAGTTTTCCAGGAAAACTCAAAGGTTTGGGGAAGCTTCCCCAAAGTGATATAACTTTTATCGTGTCCGTTTCCCTTTCACCTGGCTTCGCAGGCTTTATCAGACGTAACCGTAGTTTATTTGTTCTTTTGTATATTGTTTTATACTACTTACTAAACTTCAGTAGTCAGTTGTATTCCCTATAACTTCAGTTTACTTTGGGGATTTCCCAAAATTTCGGGGATTTCCCCAGGTCTGGGGAAGTTTTGGGATTTTCGTCTCATTTCCTCAAAAGTCCACCAAAATTTACTAAGGCGGCTTCCCCAAAGCTGGCAGCTTAGGATGTATTAAATTATATCAAATCACAAACTCTGCGTTCAATTTAAACGGTCCTCATTTTTAAAAGAAAACAAATTATTTCAAAAATACGAAACAACTTAGACAATACAGCCTGTGTCTGACGGTCAGCGGTATTTTTAACAAAATTCAGCGTTCTAAACAACAAAAAATAGTTAATACAGAGAAGGTTAGTGCCTGAGAATCGATTAAAAAGATATTCTCAATAACATAGGATCAGATATCTATCTGCAGGTATCCCAACATTCTTTCCAAGCAGACAGTCAAAGGTTAACAGTCACACACTGAACCACGCCGTGACCTTGAGATCTGTCAAACACAACCTTATTGTCAATAATCTGGCAACATGCAACAGAAACATTAGGTAACGAAAGGTAAGGCTTCAATCTAAGTCACATAATAAAGGCCTAGACGAGGAAGACTAAAGGACAAAAATTGTGGTTAAACAAACCTGAATAAAGGTTAAAATATGCGATAGGGATAAGAAACGAATGAGTGACAATATTGTCCAACAAAGTGATGTATAAGGGTTATCAGCGTTTTATTTCCGCTACAATGTGTCTGCAGTTAAATAATCCTCTTATTGGGATAGAATAAATAAAATATAAAAGGCATTTCACGGATATCTGAAAACGTTCAAGAGCTTCCATCTTGCGAAACTGTTGTAAAACATGTTAAACTTATTCATAATCCATGGTTTAATTTGTTATAAAGTAAAACTAACAGGTGAATTCTGTATGACGAATTTGGCTGCTGT